CCCCCCTCCCCCCCCTGTGGTCTTGGCCTGGTATATGGCGCCACTTTCGTACTGAAATTGCACTCTTCTTTTTCTCTGCCTATTGTGCTAGGTTCACTTTTTTTCCCTCTGCTACAGATAATTACTTTAGGGTACTTGGGAAGCATGACTGGAACAATAAGTGCCTCCATGGTGGGTGTGTGTGTGTGTGTGTGTGTGTGTGTGTGTGTGTGTGTGGGTGTGTGTGTGTGGGTGTGTGTGGGTGTGTGTGTGTGGGTGTGTGTGTGTGGGTGTGTGTGTGTGTGTGGGTGGGTGGGTGGGTGTGTGTGTGTGTGGGTGGGTGGGTGTGTGTGTGTGGGTGGGTGTGTTCACCTATTTGTTCTTGCGGGGGTTGAGCTCTGCTCTTTCGGCCCGCGTCTCAACTGTCAATCAACTGTAACTAATTACTAACTAATTTTCTCTTCACACACACACACACACACACACACACACACACACACACACACACACACACACACACACACACACACAGGGGACGATGCTAAAATTATGAGAAGGATTAAAACAGAAGAGGACTGTTTGAGGCTTAAAGAAGACCTAGACAAGCTGAAGGAATGGTCGAACAAATGGTTGTTAGTTTAACCCAACCAAATGTATTGTAATGAAGATAGGTGTAGGGAGCAGGAGGCCAGATACAAGGTATCATCTGTGAGAAGAAATTCTTCAGGAGTCAGAGAAGGAAAAAGATTTGGGGGTTGATATCACGCCAGACCTGTCTCCTGTAGCACATATCAAGCGGATAACATCAGCGGCATATGATAGGCTGGCCAACGTACAAACGGCATTCGGAAACTTGTGTAAAGAATCATTCAGAACTTTGTATACCACATATGTCAGGCCAATCCTGGAGTATGCAGCCCCAGCATGAAGTCCATATCTAGTCAAGGATAAGACTAAACTGGTAAAGGTTCAAAGGTTTGCCACCAGACTAGTACCCGGGCTGAGAGGTATGAGCTACGAGGAGAAACTACGGGAATTAAACCTCACTTCGCTGGAAGACAGAAGAGTAAGGGGGGGACATGATCACCACATTCAAGATTCTGAAGAGAATTGATAGGGTAGATAAAGACAGTCTATTTAACACAAGGGGAACACGCACAAGGGGACACAGGTGGAAACTGAGTGCCCAAATGAGCCACAGAGATATTAGAAAGAACTTTTTTAGTGTCAGAGTGGTTGACAAATGGAATGTATTAGGAAGTGATGTGGTGGAGGCTGACTCCATACACAGTTTCAAGTGTAGATATGATAGAGCCCAATAGGCTCAGGAATCTGTACACCTGTTGATTGACAGTTGAGAGGCGGGACCAAAAAGCCAGAGCTCAACCTCCGCAAACACAACTAGGTGAGTACACACACACACACACGCACACCAGGAAGCAGCTCCGTAACAGCTATCTAACTCCCAGGTACTTATTTACTGCTAGGTAACAGGGGTATCAGGGGTGAAAGAAACTTTGCCCATTTGTTTCTGCCTGGTCCGGGAATCGAACCCGGGCCACAGAATTACGAATCCTGCGCGCTGTCCGCTCAGCTACCAGACCCCCATGACGTGTGTGTGGGGCGGGGGGGGGGGATGAATGACTAGGGCGGCGTGAGCTTCCAGTACTGGAAGTACTTCCAGAACTGTTCTTCCAGTACTGTTGGACACGTACTGGAAGGCAGCTTCTCATTACATTGTGCATCGCCTCAGTCCTTATCATTTACTTAAATGCTATATTAGGACTAATATTTGTTAATGTGTATGTTGTGTGTTCTTCTGGGAGCGAGCATCGTATGTTAGCTGTGTTATATATAACAAACATTTTTAGGAAAGTATAAATTTAGACAACTGGGATTCCTGACACCGCGGCAGTGTTCACTTGTTTTGCTCAACCTATTTTTGGTACAGTTTGCTGCACGCCGGAAAATAATGCAGCTGCATTTTTTGTTACACTTAACGTAGTGGGAAGGTTGTGTGGCGCAGTGCAAGGAGCCTCCATGTTTATGGTGCAGGTGTAGCCCGGCTCGCCTCGCTCACCACTACAGGTGAAAGAAAGCTCTGCACCACTATTTTTATATATATAATGTTATAGATTATATATGGTGTGGGTGTTATACCATGGTGAGTGGTGCAGATGCGGGCGGCCCGGGGCGGTAGAGAGCGGTATAGACAGAGGGAGTGAGAGTCGGTCCTGTGATAAGGATGTTATCAAGGGAAATGGTTTCGCTTGATAAATAGCTGCCCCATGTGCCTCAGGCGGAAGACAATACCAGATTTTAATAGTTTTTTAGTAGGCGCACCTGTCAGTCCCTGACAGCCTGATGTCCCCTGGGTGTCCCTGGGTGTCCCCTAAGTGTCCAGGCGGGGCTGGAGGCCTGGGTGTCCCTGTGTCCAGGCGGGGCTGGAGGCCAGGGTGTCCCTGTGTCCAGGCGGGACTGGAGGCCTGGGTGTCCCCGTGTCCAGGCGGGACTGGAGGCCTGGGTGTCCCCGTGTCCAGGCGGGACTGGAGGCCTGGGTGTCCCTGTGTCCAGGCGGGGCTGGAGGCCTGGGTGTCCCTGTGTCCAGGCGGGACTGGAGGCCTGGGTGTCCCTGGGTCCAGGCTGGGCTGGAGGCCTGGGTGTCCCTGTGTCCAGGCGGGACTGGAGGCCTGGGTGTCCCTGTGTCCAGGCTGGGCTGGAGGCCTGGGTGTCCCTGTGTCCAGGCGGGACTGGAGGCCTGGGTGTCCCTGTGTCCAGGCGGGACTGGAGGCCTGGGTGTCCCTGTGTCCAGGCGGGACTGGAGGCCTGGGTGTCCCTGTGTCCAGGCGGGACTGGAGGCCTGGGTGTCCCTGGGTCCAGGCGGGACTGGAGGCCTGGGTGTCCCCGTGTCCAGGCGGGACTGGAGGCCTGGGTGTCCCTGGGTCCAGGCGGGACTGGAGGCCTGGGTGTCCCTGTGTCCAGGCGGGACTGGAGGCCAGGGTGTCCCTGTGTCCAGGCGGGGCTGGAGGCCTGGGTGTCCCTGTGTCCAGGCGGGACTGGAGGCCTGGGTGTCCCTGGGTCCAGGCGGGGCTGGAGGTCTGGGTGTCCCTGTGTCCAGGCGGGGCTGGAGGCCTGGGTGTCCCTGTGTCCAGGCGGGACTGGAGGCCTGGGTGTCCCTGGGTCCAGGCGGGACTGGAGGCCTGGGTGTCCCTGGGTCCAGGCGGGACTGGAGGCCTGGGTGTCCCTGTGTCCAGGCGGGACTGGAGGCCTGGGTGTCCCTGGGTCCAGGCGGGACTGGAGGCCTGGGTGTCCCTGGGTCCAGGCGGGACTGGAGGCCTGGGTGTCCCCGTGTCCAGGCGGGACTGGAGGCCTGGGTGTCCCTGGGTCCAGGCGGGACTGGAGGCCTGGGTGTCCCTGTGTCCAGGCGGGACTGGAGGCCTGGGTGTTCCTGTGTCCAGGCGGGACTGGAGGCCTGGGTGTTCCTGTGTCCAGGCGGGGCTGGAGGCCTGGGTGTCCCTGTGTCCAGGCTGGGCTGGAGGCCTGGGTGTCCCTGTGTCCAGGCTGGGCTGGAGGCCTGGGTGTCCCTGTGTCCAGGCTGGGCTGGAGGCCTGGGTGTCCCTGTGTCCAGGCGGGACTGGAGGCCTGGGTGTCCCTGGGTCCAGGCGGGGCTGGAGGCCTGGGTGTCCCTGTGTCCAGGCTGGGCTGGAGGCCTGGGTGTCCCTGTGTCCAGGCGGGACTGGAGGCCTGGGTGTCCCTGGGTCCAGGCGGGACTGGAGGCCTGGGTGTCCCTGGGTCCAGGCGGGGCTGGAGGCCTGGGTGTCCCTGTGTCCAGGCTGGGCTGGAGGCCTGGGTGTCCCTGTGTCCAGGCGGGACTGGAGGCCTGGGTGTCCCTGTGTCCAGGCCGGGCTGGAGGCCTGGGTGTCCCTGTGTCCAGGCGGGACTGGAGGCCTGGGTGTCCCCGTGTCCAGGCGGGACTGGAGGCCTGGGTGTCCCAGTGTCCAGGCGGGACTGGAGGCCTGGGTGTCCCCGTGTCCAGGCGGGACTGGAGGCCTGGGTGTCCCCGTGTCCAGGCGGGACTGGAGGCCTGGGTGTCCCCGTGTCCAGGCGGGACTGGAGGCCTGGGTGTCCCCGTGTCCAGGCGGGACTGGAGGCCTGGGTGTCCCCGTGTCCAGGCGGGACTGGAGGCCTGGGTGTCTCCGTGTCCAGGCGGGACTGGAGGCCTGGGTGTCCCCGTGTCCAGGCGGGACTGGAGGCCTGGGTGTCCCCGTGTCCAGGCGGGACTGGAGGCCTGGGTGTCCCCGTGTCCAGGCGGGACTGGAGGCCTGGGTGTTGTATCATCCAGGCAGGAAGGCGGGATAGAGGAACCTCCATAAGTCTGGTCGTTTGACGGGCTCACCATAGCCCGTGCTACATGGACATTTTAGTTCCGAGTTGCTGAATGTAAAATAGACTGGTGGTTTCTCTGAGTCACCACAAGCCTTGATACTCTGGCAGCAATGTTTATGGCGCCATTAACCATAGTACAGGAAGTTGAGGTTACAACCTTGAGCACTGATGATTGAGGGCCAGTTGAGCGCCCAGCCCGCCAGACACAATGTAGGACATGACAGACAGTCCACTTAGATCATCACAGATTCTAACTGGGAAAATGCCAGGTACTCCTGAGATCTTATTGTGAGTATCTATGGTCGGGTCGGTAGCACAACAATCTTCTATTTCTGAGGCCTGAGTTCGAACCTCCGATGATCGAAGTGAATAAAGAACTCTTGAGTGTATAAATTTGAGTATTACAATGACGTATGTCAAGTTGGAGGGACGGGGAAGGACAGAGGGAGGGACATAGGGGTAGGGGTGGAGGGAGTGTGACGAGGGTTGAGGAAGTGTGACGAGGGTTGAGGGGCAGTGATGGGGAACAGAAGGGTAAACAAGGGGGGGGGAGGAAGAGGGAGGAGATAAAGCTAATGGGGAAAATAAATGTGGTTCATTTGGTACCAGGTCAGTGTTCTGGCAACTGATGACCTTTACAAGAGGCGTGAGGGGGAGAGGGGAAGATATACATACAGCGTGGGGAAGATATATATGCGGCGTGGGGAAGATATACATACAGCGTGGGGAAGATATATATGCGGCGTGGGGAAGATATACATGCGGCGTGGGGAAGATATACATGCGGCGTGGGGAAGATATACATGCGGCGTGGGGAAGATATACATGCGGCGTGGGGAAGATATACATGCGGCGTGGGGAAGATATACATGCGGCGTGGGGAAGATATACATGCGGCGTGGGGGAGATATACATGCGGCGTGGGGGAGATATACATGCGACGTGGGGGAGATATACATGCGGCGTGGGGGAGATATACATGCGGCTTGGGGAAGATATACATGCGGCGTGGGGGAGATATACATGCGACGTGGGGGAGATATACATACGGCGTGGGGAAGATATACATGCGGCGTGGGGAAGATATACATGCGGCGTGGGGGAGATATACATGCGGCGTGGGGAGATATACATGCGACGTGGGGGAGATATACATGCGGCGTGGGGGAGATATACATGCGGCGTGGGGGAGATATACATGCGACGTGGGGGAGATATACATGCGGCGTGGGGGAGATATACATGCGGCGTGGGGGAGATATACATGCGACGTGGGGGAGATATACATGCGGCGTGGGGGAGATATACATGCGGCGTGGGGGAGATATACATGCGACGTGGGGGAGATATACATGCGGCGTGGGGGAGATATACATGCGACGTGGGGGAGATATACATGCGACGTGGGGGAGATATACATGCGACGTGGGGGAGATATACATGCGGCGTGGGGGAGATATACATGCGACGTGGGGGAGATATACATGCGGCGTGGGGGAGATATACATGCGACGTGGGGGAGATATACATGCGGCGTGGGGGAGATATACATGCGGCGTGGGGGAGATATACATGCGACGTGGGGGAGATATACATGCGGCGTGGGGGAGATATACATGCGACGTGGGGGAGATATACATGCGACGTGGGGGAGATATACATGCGACGTGGGGGAGATATACATGCGACGTGGGGGAGATATACATGCGGCGTGGGGGAGATATACATGCGACGTGGGGGAGATATACATGCGACGTGGGGGAGATATACATGCGACGTGGGGGAGATATACATGCGACGTGGGGGAGATATACATGCGACGTGGGGGAGATATACATGCGACGTGGGGAGATATACATGCGACGTGGGGGAGATATACATGCGGCGTGGGGGAGATATACATGCGGCGTGGGGGAGATATACATGCGGCGTGGGGGAGATATACATGCGGCGTGGGGGAGATATACATGCGACGTGGGGGAGATATACATGCGACGTGGGGGAGATATACATGCGGCGTGGGGGAGATATACATGCGACGTGGGGGAGATATACATGCGACGTGGGGGAGATATACATGCGACGTGGGGGAGATATACATGCGACGTGGGGGAGATATACATGCGACGTGGGGGAGATATACATGCGGCGTGGGGAAGATACACATGCGGCGTGGGGAAGATATACATGCGGCGTGGGGAAGATATACATGCGGCGTGGGGAAGATATACATGCGGCGTGGGGAAGATATACATGCGGCGTGGGGATAGTTACCTCGAGTAAGAATTTTTGACCGAAAATGAAACAAATTATTTTTCAGTGGGGATGGTGGTGGAGGTAAATATTGGAGGCGTTGTGTGGGCCCGGAGGTGGAGCCGAGGCTGGGCGAGGACTGGGGACCAGGAGCCAGATTCACGAAGCAGTTACGCAAGTACTTACGAACTTGTACATCTTTCCTCAATGTTTGACGGCTTTGGTTACATTTATTAAACAGTTTACAAGCATGAAAACGTCCCAATTAATTTTTTTTGTTATAAACAGCCTCCTGGTGCTTCAGAGCTTATTTACTGTTTAATAATTGTAAACAAAGCCACTAAAGATTGAGAAAAGATGAACAGGTTCGTAAGTGCTTGCGTGACTGCTTCGTGAATCTGGCCCCAGGTACCTACACAATACCTACTTTAGAACATTTTATGTCAAGAATTAAACAAAATGTATAATTCTTTCAGAAGCCTTTGCAGGGGCCCTTCTACGGGCGCGGTTCCCCACTTTCCCTACTTTCCAGAAGACATCCCCCTTACACCATCTTCCCCACCATGCTCCCCACACTCCCCCACCATGCTCCCCACACTCCCCCACCATGCTCCCCACACTCCCCCACCATGCTCCCCACACTCCCCCACCATGCTCCCCATGCTCCCCACACTCCCCCACCATGCTCCCCACACTCCCCCACCATGCTCCCACACCCCCACCACGCTCCCCCACCACGCTCCCATCTCCCTAAAAGCCATCCATCCCCACCTCGTCCACCCCCGACGCACAACGCCTGGGTTAGCAAGCAAGAGCTGTTGGATAATTAAGAGTGCGTTTCCAGGCGGAGTGGACGAGCGTAAGATTTCATGCGGTGGCCGCACAGGGGATAGCACTATGCCTCCGTCCCTTCCCTCTTACCTGGTCACGGGTGTTGTGCGTGAAGCACGGGCGTTGTGCGTGAAGCACGGGCGTTGTGCGTGAAGCACGGGCGTTGTGCGTGAAGCACGGTCGTTGTGCGTGAGGCACGGTCGTTGTGCGTGAAGCACGGTCATTGTGCGTGAAGCACGGTCACGCTAAGTCATTATACACCACGCTGAACACCCCTGGCCGCTCAGATGAACATTGTTGCCATTTAGATACGTTAATATCGTATCCATAATGTTCAGTGAGAACATTCAGGCAACGTTTTTCCGCCTTTAACTGTTCCCCGGGCGACGTTCCGTGTATGACCGTTCGGAATTGTTGGCTAATTAAGCGGTGTCCATTAGCTCAGGTAATTAGCAAGTTTGGTAATTGTTGTCTGGCGGCGGCGCGAACAGCGTAGTTGGGGCGCCGTGGCGGTGGTTAGAGGAATTGTTTTGTAGTGGTAGTTGGGTTGTTATTGATAGTTAATTACCGCATAGTGGTCCAGTCCCTCCTGTTGCTGGTGTTACTGTCGTCCCTCCTGTTGCTGGTGGTACTGTCTTCTCTCCTGTTGCTGGTGTTACTGTCGCCCCTCCTGTTAGTGTTACTGTCGCCCCTCCTGTTACTGGTGGTACTGTCTTCTCTCCTGTTGCTGGTGTTACTGTCGCCCCTCCTGTTAGTGTTACTGTCGCCCCTCCTGTTGCTGGTGCGAGAGTAACACCAATACCGTTTGAAACTAGACCAGTTTCAACAGTCATTCAGTTAACTTAATACAAAAGTGGGCTTTTACAAGGCAGACTGGTGCCTAGACGTCTAGAATACAGTGCCTTTCCTTCTCATCTCCGAGGCTGAAGGACCTTACAAATTCACTTTGAGGTGGCGCCCCCTGGGTGGTGGCGCCCTGTTAAGCGGGGGGATAAATGGTTGCTCTATTAGGGCCAATAGCTAAGGTCAAGGAGTTCCTGAAATAGTGAGAATTATTTAAGGCGCCGGCCCCAGGGAAGACACTTCCCGCCAAACACACACCGAAACTACGACGTTGGTACAATGTTCGAACAAGTTTTAACACTTAACCATGGTATATTGGTTGCTATAACAACCAATATAGCAAGTTGTAACAACGTTCTAATACACCATACACACATTAAACCAAGATATAACAACTTTATTGCAAGTTGTAACAAGCGGAAAATAGAGACAGTTTCGGTTTGTGTTTCCAGGGAATTCCCAGCAAATGACACTTGTCTGAAATAAAAGTCTGCAGTGTAAAGGTTGATCACCTACTCCACTTCACACAGGGTGAAAGGATACTTCTAAACCTTATTACTTATTTATTTAACCCTCTAATAACCCCCATATACAAAATACAATAAATACTTTACCACTGTACCTCACGTTAAACTCCTTGAAGCCACATATGCAGGAGACAAGGCTTACAACAACAAACTAGGGTAAAGACTATTTTCCTGAAGGGACACTGGAACACACACAAGTAACACTGTAAACATTAGCACACGTGGTCTCTCTAGCCACCCTAGAGTACACTTAGGGTCACTGACTTTGAGAACACAAATACACTCAAAACTTAGCTAATGGCACGGTAATACTATAATAAGATACTTAACTGGGTAGTACATGTAATACAGAATAAGGAGAGACAAGAGAGGAGGAGGAGAAAGGGTAACCCAACGGCCCACAAAGTCTTGTGACCGCCTCGTCCAGCAGCACAGCAGAGTAAACCGAGTCTCAGCTCTGGGAGTCCTCTCATGGTTGCTGCCGGCCGATACTCAACTGATCGTACAGCAACCATCATTTCAAGTCTTCCCAGACATTTCTTTACTTGTTACTTTAACAGTTCTAGGAATAGCTACCAACTAGCTCTATATTATATTTAATAATCAACAATCACAGAGTCTGCCTGCTCTGTGAGCAACAAGATTCTTCTTATGTCTGGCAAGGGAGACAGAAACAAAAGCATACCCATGATATAAGAAATCTTCAATGTAAATATTGTTGTTAATTAAATATCCCTCTTACATAATCCAATCCTATCAATTAATGTTCTAATATGTATTTAATTAGGAACAACCAATTCAAAATCCCTAAGTCAGGGCCTATCACTATCAGAATACTTGAGTGACTAATCCCCGCATGAATATAAAGAATCCAATTTGACCTCAGGCTTCCTGGCAAAGAAAATTAGGAATCCCGAGTCGTAACACGCCCCTAATATATAGTGTCCACCACACGCTGGACAGCCAGAATGTAAACCTTGGCAGCATAGTGTCCTTCACATATGTCAGCCAAGCTCCTGGACGAGGGTGATGAAGCGAAGGGCCGCACTACACAAACACAGAAACCTAATTGAGGGTACCGTCATTAGTGGAGGGAAGGGGTTGGGGGGTCGGTGTGGGGTTGGGAGGAGGGGTGTTTCAAGAGTGGTGACTGAGCGCCTGGTGGTGGTAGGGTGCGGGCTGCCCACCTGTCGCTGGCACCACAACGCTATATTTTATAAATAACGTCACTTTGGTGCTCATAGCTCGAGTTAATTTTGACAAATAACTTTTCTCTGACAAACACTATTTTCCTGCCTGGTCGCTACACGTTAAATTTGACAAATAATATTTCGGTTCTCGGAGCTCGAGTTAAATTTGACAAATAACTTCTCACTGGCTCGCTCGCGCGCGAGCCCCCCCCCTCCCCCAGAAGAGTTAGGGGGGGACATGATCACCACATTCAAGATTCTCAAGGGAATCGACAGGGTTGATAAAGACAGGCTATTTAACACAAGGGGCACACGCACTAGGGGACACAGGTGGAAACTGAGTGCCCAAATGAGTCATAGAGATATTAGAAAGAACTTTTTTAGTGTCAGTGTCAGAGTGGTTACACAGGTTACAGCCTACACCACCTCGGGTTGCAGGGGGAGGTGTTAGGGTACACAGGCCTGCAGTAGGCCGCGCCTAGCTCCTCCTCCTCTGCCTTATAAACCTCCTCCATGAAATTTGTATGAGGCAAACCTGAGGGCCTTGTCTCGTCTCCTTTACTTCCCTTTCCCCTCTTCCTCTCTAAGGTGCTCTCCCGTCTTGTCCTCTCCCACGGTGCTCTCCCTTGTCCTCTCCCACGGGTGTTCTCCTCTAGTACTCCTGCCCTCTCCCTCTCATCTTGCCCTTTCCCTCTGGTTCCGTCTCTATCTCCTCTCTCCCCCCCCCCACTCTCCTCCTCTCCTTCTTCCCTGTGGTGTCGGGGGCTGGCTCTCAGGAGGCAGATGGAAGGGCTGGGAGTGGTGGAGAGAGCAGTGGGCTTCAGTTGAGAAGCAAGGATTATAACCCTGGCCGAGCGACCATCTGTACAACTGTACCAGCTGGCCAGTCACCAACCACGCCCTACAAACACCCAGGCAAGCTAACAAAGGCTAGCTCTCGTCAGGGTGATAGTGTGTGTGTGTGTGTGTGTGTGTGTGTGTGTGTGTGTGTGTGTGTGTGTGTGTGTGTGTGTGTGTGTGTGTGTGTGTACTCACCTAATTGTGCTTTCGGGGGTTGAGTTTTGACTCTTTGGTCACCCTCTCGCCAGGGTGATAGTGTGTGTGTGAGAGCGAGTGTGATAGCGTCTGTGCGTGAGAGTGAGAGCGGAAGAGTAGTGAAGTAACTCACTGGACAGCGTTGGAAAGCATTAGTGGGATAAAACTGGCATTTCAGAAGGAACGTTTCAAGCTCTGGCGATATTTCTCTGTCGCCGGTCCATATGGCGCGCTCCAAGAACGTGACAGGCGGTGTGGATCACTAGGTCGAGGATCCCACGTTAGCCATCCGTTGGCATCAGCCCAAGACGCAGTAGCGAGGAGCAACGCCGCTCTAGTCCTCGGGTAGGTAATGGCTCTCACTCGACACCACGTATGTATCAATTGTGGTAGTGAGGCGGTAAACAGTGAAGAATGTCCGTTGGCGCCTCCCTCGGGCACACTCCCAGACCCACCCGGCTTTGGCGGTGGTGGAGCTCCAGCCCCTCCTGCTGCTGCTGCTCCTCCTCTCCTTCACCCTCGTCTTCATAACCTCTCCCTTCATCCTCGTCCTCTTCCATTCACTATCTTCCCATT